CTTCCTTCCTTCCTTCCTTCCTTCCTTCCTTCCTTCCCTCCCTCCCTCCCTCCCTCCCTCCCAATTTTCCTCTTGAAGGTCACTCAAGATTCTGGGTATTTTGTCGTATTTGGTTGGCTTACAAATATACAGGTGACACATAGTTTGAGCACTCCATCAGATAGCCAAAATTGGCTGACGTCCCTCAGATTCTTAGTGAGAGAGAGACTACTCCAGTTGCTTTCAGAACTCCAACTCAGATCTTTCTTCCTCTCACTCTAAAAGCAGTCCCTTTTCACAGGGATTTACCTGAATTACCTCACCCTGAGGAAGGAGAGGAATATATCTACATTTTAGGTATTTTCTGGCTGTTCAGAAGGCACAGTTTTTGAAAGCACTTAATTCCTTGCAAACTGGCCTTTGCAGCTTTGTTAGGACTCTAAAAACAGTCTACAGCTCCAGTTTCTCTCTCCTATACAATCTTTCCACAGTTTTATTCCACTATTCTAGCTACATGGGTTGTATGTTTTCCAAACTTCAGTAGCTGGATTCTACCTGAGATGATAAATGAGAGGATTATAGAATTATCTTTCCTCATAAAAAATCACTGCTTGGAAAGCCAAGCATGGAACTATTCTGGAAAAAAAAAGTGATCCTGTAGTTAATTGAACACTGAACTAGAACTCTGAAATGATCTGGATTGTTCTCTGTAAAATCATAATATTTTGCTACCACATGTAGATTGTTAAATTGAAGGTTTGTATACAACTGACAGGGCATATGAGCCATCTTAAATGAATAGATATGAGTGGGGTGTCCACAGGGTGTGGTAAAAACTCAGGAGGGTGGCCACAATGATGTAATTGAAGCTCCACCTGTTTTTAATGTGTTTCATGCCTTCTCCCCTTAATAGTTCTTTCACACCTTCTCCAAGTTCACTTCTAAATCCCTTTACAACAGCCCAAGAAAGGCCAGTTTTATTTCATCCATTGGTGACATCCATTGGTTTCTTATTTCAGAGCATGTTTTTAGCCCTCCTTCATTCAATTGTTGCTGTTCTGGTTGTGTACATGATGCATTAAACAATGCTGAACAAATATCCTCCTTTTTTGTGTCTAGGGAACTTTGCAGAAGTTTGTGGATGACCTTTTTGAGACCATCTTCAGCACAGCCCACCGAGGGAGTGCCTTGCCTCTGGCCATCAAGTACATGTTTGACTTCCTGGATGAACAAGCTGATAAGCACCAGATCAATGACTATGATGTCAGGCACACTTGGAAAAGTAACTGGTAAGAAGATGCTGTAGCTCAGCAATAAAGTCCCAAGATCTCTTCCCATCTTCTCTAGGTCAAGCTGAGGAAGGGTGGATACTGGTGGGCCATTGTGCAGATAAATATTCAGCCAGATAGATCAATGGTCTGATTCTGCAGGACAGCTTCTTATCTGATCTGCAGCTAGGGTGTGAAGAGTTGGGTATAGCTAACAGGAAGATGTTTCTCTCAAAGAGGTCTAATCAGCTTACTGTAGTTTCAGCTTCTTCAGAACATAGATCAGATGGTTTAAAAAAAATATCTCAGTCACATAAGAAAGTGAAGCCTCCAAACGTATTCATGCTTCCCAAATGTTTCCATGCCCCCTTCAAAACCAGGTTTTTTCAGGATAACATGTTTTTATTTGCTTTCGGATCAACCGAATGTTGAAGTGTATAAATCATCAAAATCTCAATATAAAACGTGGAATAATAATGTGGATCCAATAATGGAAACCTAATTAGTAGAACAATAAGGCTGTGCAGCACTTCAGTTTCAAGGCAAGAAAGTGTTTCAGATTGCAGGAGCAATTCTAACATTTTTGGGGGCCGGCATGGCAGCCACGGAGGGCAGACGCGCCTTCCCAGAAAAAGGGGCAGCTGCTGAAATGAGCCACAGACAGGTGCTGCATTCAGACCTTTGCACGCTCCAAGGCACCTCTTTATCTTTGAATCAGAAGCGACGCAGAGTCATAATAAACAATAAAAGCGGCAGCTACAGGAGAGTAGTTAAAAATCTTGTATGCAGCATTTTTGTTTATATACCCGGTTATCATTTTGATGGCGAACTGTGTTCCACATTTACCTTAGAATGTGATAGGGAAGTTATTCTCCTCCGCACGCTGATTTGCATAGCCTTAAACTCCGTCTCGCTATTTATTTCGTGCTGTTGGGGATTAATGTGCTCAGTGAATAGGGAGAAGCGGCAAGCCCTCTCTCTTCTGCTGCTGCCTCGCCGATTTGATCTCTCCGTTCCTTTCACTGTTGCTGGGGATAGGAATACTCATTCTCATCTCTGGTATTTGTTAAATAGCAACCAAATTGCTTTTGTAGTTCAGTAACTGTCAGTAATTAGCAAGGCAGGAAAAGAAACATTTTTAAATGGAGTTATGAGAGCATGGAAACACTTGGAACTGATTTATCACTCGGCTTTCTATATTAAAGGAAATAGCTGCTCTGGGAGGAAAAGGCAGGGTGGGGAAAGAATCCCAATGATGCAACTGCACAGAGCCCAGGGAGGCAGGCTCCCGCATACTAATGCTCCTGCTTATTTCCTTCCGCTAATTCAGTGCATAGAGTTAATTTCAAGAGATGATTCCCTGAAATTAAAAGAAGTAGGTTTGACCACCACCTGGATTATATGAATTGTGGCAGTTTGATATTTGAGACAAATGCAATTATGGAAACCGAGGCCTAGTTTTCAATGAGATAGTACCAGTTATTATACTACTTCAGACTGTAAGTGAAGATCCTACGATGGAATTATTTTACACAAAAAAACCCTTCCCTAGAAGACCCTCCATGGTATGCCGGATTTCCTGGACACATAGAAATCTTTCCAGTGAGAAGTGAAAAATTAGGTGGCATTCCTGGGGTTCTTTGCACTATGCTTTTCAATTTGATCATCCCAACTTTCTCCAGGTAAAATAGTTTGAGTTGTCCCAGTACTTTGGGTTTTTTTTACCTAGCAGGTAAGAATTCCAATAAAACAGGAAACGTATTATGACCACCCCCACCCCCCTGCCCCAATAACATTGTTTTGTGAAAGAAGACATCAGTAATCTGCAGAAACAGCACAGCCATCTGCATTGTGCTGGTCGCCTCAGGATAAATTAATGCTGGGCTGAGGTGGATCAAGAAGGTATTTGCCTTTCCTTTAATTATAGTTCTTATTTCTTGATAGAATTTAGTCTCAGGGGGCTGATATAGGATATAGGGGTTTAATAAAGGGCAGAAAGCTTGGTGAACCCTGACATTTACCAGTAATTCCAAAGGGTTTAAGAAGAGCATAGAGAAATAATAGAAATGTTGACATGTACTGATAAAATCCCAAGGTCAACATGAATGACTTTGACAAATGTACTCATGCTTTATTATGTGTCAAAAATAATATAATTTACCAGGGCACAATTTTGGGTATTTAACACAAGTCCCATGATAGAAATATTTCTCATATTCACTGTTACTTTTCAAATACCTTTAAAATTATTTATATATTTATATTTACATATAAAAACATTTATAAATATATTCATATACAAATGTACTATATATCATATACCCACCCTTCAATGAGATAGCTGCATAGCTGGCAAACCAGGCATCAGTTAGCATCACCTATTTAGATTTTGGGAAAACCCCTGCCCTCACTTGGATAGATTTTGACCAGATAAAGGTTGTTGCTAAGGGCCCTGCTTGAAGCTACTAAGAATAATGTTCTCTTTCTTCTTCTTTGCAGTCTACCTCTACGTTTTTGGGTGAATGTGATTAAGAACCCGCAATTTGTGTTTGACATTCACAAGAACAGTATTACTGATGCCTGCCTATCAGTGGTGGCTCAGACATTCATGGACTCCTGCTCAACTTCTGAGCACAAGCTAGGGAAAGACTCTCCCTCCAATAAGCTACTGTATGCCAAGGACATCCCTAACTATAAGAGCTGGGTAGAAAGGTGAGTAATTTTAGCTGTAGAGGAGGTAGGTTTGCAAAATTAACAAAGGTGTGGCCATTCTAGTCTCCCCTAGAAAGTTGGGGAAAATTCTCTGCTATAAAGGAGCCTTTCTGGATTAGAAGAGCAAGAATTGGTTCTTGTAAACAATTGCAAGTGATTGTTTTTCCAAGAAATGCCAATTCTTCTCAGGTCCTTCTAATGAATAAGTAATAGAGTACATAGATATCATTATGGCAGCTATTTCTATTAGGCTGGATCCAGCATAAACGTCTAATGGAAAACAACAACAACAAAGTGTTTCTTCTATCAGCTGAGCTTTTCAGTGGTTGAACAAGACAGGGAATGATATTTCTTGCAACTATTGCCAGATCCCAAAGTCTCCTAAAAATTACATCAAAAGGATGGGGGTGGGGACTTTGGGAATAGTGAGCGAGGAGGCACTGGAGACTCGAGAAAAGCTCACAGATAACTTCCTCCCTTTCCCCTTCCAGCTCCACTGTGTTTTGAGGACATTTCTACTGGTAGAATAATCCATTTGCAGGAGGATTAGCAAAGCAAAATCTCTTGCCAATGGAATTTACAGCTTGGATTAGATCCAAGCTGAAAATAATATAATCATATTGTGTTGAATAATACAAATATGAGTTTTGGTTTTCAGGGGTTTTACCAAGGAGATTCTGATCAACAAGTATGCTTGTTTTGTTAATTATTGTTTAAAGTGTACTATTGGTGGGGAGACTTGCACGTTGGAAAGAGTGGCACTCAGTGGACCTGGTGCAGTTGTGTGAAAGTTGTATTTGCCAGTGACCAATTGTGCAAGTTCTCCCACTTAAAAAGATGAGAGAGGCCTGTAATTTTCATCATAGGTATACCTCAACTATGAGAGACAAAAT